ATATTTTTAATAATATTTTCACTAGTATTGCTTTTCTTTCTAATCAGTTTCCTAAAATATTTTAAAATAAGCACATCAACAGTCATTAGCAAAAAAGAGTATATTATTTGAATTAGAATTATGAATAATAAATAGAATCTTTTTCTTGCCTGCATATGTTGCAAGCATTCTTCTTGCATTGAAACTGCCATTTTAAAGATAAACGTGTCATGTTTGTTGTACATGATCGCGTTTTGGAACATAAGCATGACGTCCCTCTGAAAGTGCATAGTCGACCTAATTGTGCCATTGTCAATGTTCTTTTTGATGGTTGATAGATCCATCGGTCGGAAAATCACCGAATGATACCCAGGCGCCTGGTCTTCCGTGATCGGCCTGAGAAACACCGACGCGTATTTGTGCGTGGCCAAACGATTGTAGACGAGCATGACCGCTTTCTTCCAAGCACGATAATCCGCACCCTCTCCAGTGCTCTCATTTTCTGGTTCGCTGTCCACAGCGACGTTTTGCTTCTTAGAGTATGTCTTCATCGCCCGGTTGCTACTCAATTTGCTCAACGATGACTCTTCTTCATCTAATTCTCCGGATTCTTCCACGACTGTAGATTCTACCTCCTTTTTTATGCTCTGCTCGCTTTCCATGGTTTTCTTGATATCCTCTTTCTCCTCTTTTTTCTCCTTCACTTCCATTTTCTTGTCTTCCTCCGATGAACTGTGAAGCGGGCTTTTCCTATGGAACGAATCGCTAGCTTCCGGTTCCGTTTCGACTTTTGATTCTTCGGATTTGATTTCTGCACTCTCCATTTTCTTAATGTGTATTTCTGCGTCGGTAGTCATAGTTTCGACTGGCTCGCTTTTGACACTTTTTACTTCCTCTATGATCACTTCTTTAGTATCCTCATTTTCATCAGCCGATCCTTTGCCAGCCTCCTCCTCTTTGACTTCTACATCCTGCAAGATGGAACTTGTAGCATCCTCCGGGGAATCTTTGATCTTCTCTTTCTTAAGCTCTGTGCTTATCTCCAACGTTTCTTCATTCGTTTCTTCTGTCTGTGACTTTATCGAAGATTCTTCTTTTATCTCCATAACATTCTTTTCTTTTATCGATTCCTCTTTAAACGATTCTAAGGATTCAGTGTTTTCAACCGTGTTTTCGACAATCCGCTCTTCTGTCGTCGGTTTCTTTTTACTCTCCATGCTTTGACTGCTCTCGTCGTCCTCTAGGATCAAGCTAATATCTTGCGACTTTTCCGTATCTTCGGCACTGGGTAGATCATTTGTCACTTCTGAAGAAATGCTGACAATCTCCGCGGACGGCACGTCCTGCTGATCCCCTGTAATTTTCGCCAAATATATTTCTAATTGATCTAATCCCGTATTATGTTTACCTTCAGTGTCTTCTGGAAGCTCCTTCCGCTCTTTAACGCTATCGGATGATTCTTTGTAAACAGGCGTAGTGACTTCCATTTCCTCTTCCTCTTCTGCTTCTTCTTCCACGTTTTCTGTAGTCTCATTTATCGTTTCCTTCGTATCGCCTAAAAGTTTAGAGTTATTTTTCTCGATCTCTACGTTTGATGAGGCATCCACAGATTTTGTTTCAGCGTCCGATTGTTTCTCTTCCATTGGAGTATCATTATTAGTTTCTTCATCTTTTATTTCTGTCTTTGGAATAAGTTGTTCCGTCAAAGTCGTCCTCTTTTCACACATATTCGTCTCGGATTTGGTCTCCAATGTGTTTGGTATGGTCTCTGTGATTTCCGTGACAATAATTTTAGGTTCTTGTGAATCAATGGCGACGGTTCCAATAATCTCAGCAATATTTGAAGTACTAGAATCAATCTCCTCGATTGCCATTTCACTTTGGGGTGAATCGGATAGTGATACAGCCTCATCCACATCTCTCGGTTGCGGCCTTGATCCTGTTGTAGGTATCAGCACTTCCGTCGCTTGTTGGGGCATACTGGTGAGATTATTGATAACTGCTGTTGTCGTCGTCATTGTTGTTGAGCTACTCGTGTCTATCGTCTGTGGACTGGAGATATCTTCTTTGATCTCTTCCTTGATCAATTCCTCGATGTCGCCGATGATGTCGTTTATCTCATCCTTATCCATCACATCTACCATTATATCTTTACGCATTACGTCTATATGATCAATTATCTGCATCTGCATATTCTCTGACACCGGCATATTTGTCGAGGTGGTGGCGGTTGCTGAAACTGTCGACATTGTTGTTGCTGCCATTGCTTCGTTCTGGATAGCCTGTTGGACTTGAGTTTGCGATTGCGCCGCTTGCTGGAAATTGTGTACTTCGGAGGTGGCAGTCACAGTTGTGGTTGTCTGTTGCTGTTGCGCATGAGATACATTTGTTGTGGTTGTCGTTTGCAAATTTGGTAGGGCTGCTCTCTGCGTACTCGCTGGCATTTCCAACAGCATAGAGAGCGTAGGAGCGCCAACGGACGGTCGTTCTGGTGTCGTATTCGCGCTGGCTATAGCCGTCGAGACCAACTGCTGCAATTGTGGCGACACTTTTTGTGCCATCTGTGCATTTAGTGCTTTAGGACTTGATCCAAGCAGACTGGTAATAGTTGGCGAACTCACTTGAACCGGAGTGGACGGAAAGGATTGTACAGTCTGAGTGGTCGGGCTGGGAGATTTCAATAGACTTGTCAACAATGGAGATCTACCGCCCCTGTTTTTCTTTTCCTCATCGTTCTCTGCCGATGATTCCGTCGCAGTGGATTCCTGCAGTACCTCTGTTGTACTCTCCACTGCTTTGCGAGTTTGGGTTACAATTGAAGTCGAGATAGATGGTGAACTCATATCCTGCTTCTGTTGCTGTTGACGTTTTGCCAGCCACGCCATGTGAGTCCGTGTCTTTTGCTCCATCTCACGTTCTTCCTGTTGTATATCAAGCCACATCTTCTCCAATTTTTCGTCACTTATTGCGCTCGATTTGAAATGATTCAAATCCGTCTTGAGTCGTAGGTACTCCTCCCTCTGACGGTTGAGCATTTGACTCAACTCGGTTACTCTCTCTTGTGTCAATTTTCTGACTATGGATTCACCAGTGGTCTCGCCGCTCTCCCGCTTCTTTCTTTTTGGCGTATCAGTATTTTCCAGTAAATACGCATATTGTATGGCACACAACTTTGGCGAGAACCAGTCTGTGGGCCTTAATGGTTCTTTTTCAACAAATGGTTTCAATGATCTGGATACACTTATCCAATTTTGATCTCCAGATTTCAGTACACTTGATGCAAGACATAATTGTTCTCGTGTAGACCACGTGTCACAGTTCGAGGTTGTACGTTTGAATTTCATTCCTAAAATTTATGTTTTTAATTAAATATTGTGTATCTCTTCTTGACTTATATATACTAAAGTAAATTAATTTAATTCTAATTAAGTATCATTTTTAACTATTTTTCACACAAATAAAAAACAACAGAAATATCATATATCATAATAAGAAATATTGTGTAAAGATTACAAAATTGATTAAATGAACTTTATAATTTCATACACTTAGTAAGTAATCGTAAGGCAAAAATTTTAAATATCTTAGAATTACAAATATTAAAATAAATGTATAATATTTTAGTTAAATTTCCTTTCATTATTTTACTTCTTTCTTATTTTTTTTTTTAAATCATCTTTAAATATATAATATAAATATATAATAAAATATTTTACATTTAAAAACAAACAATGCAATTAAAACAAATAAGTAAAATTTGCGCAAGTAAAATTCTTTTTACGTTGACATTCTTTGTTATAGGTTAATGACATCATTATTTCATTTCAGACATCTATCCAAATATCTTTATTTTAAAGCAGATAAAACTAGCATATTCCAGAAGTAATGACAAATATAGAATGAGATTGTCTGAAATCTATTCATTTAAAGTTCAAAATATGCATTGAAAATCGATATAATTATCTTAACCTATAAAAGCATCTTTTGTCAAAAGCCGAACTCACTGTCTTGCATCGATGCCATTGCTCTTCTTTTTCTAGATTCTAAACTCAGAGCAATTTAGAGATATGCGCAACTTCGCGACTAATTCGTTACTTCGCTTTGCCACAATTCTTCAAAAAGAAACAGAAAACGAATTCCATTCCGATACTTCCGCGGAACGATACATGTATATTGTAGTCCGTATTCAGAACGCTCTTTTCTCAAAGCGCGCTTTTGGATACGGTCAACGCGATGCTACAAACGCTTTGAAGCGTTTTTTAACTGGTCAGTTTGTAAAATTCTTTCTTTTAATTGGTCCATCAAATGCTTCAAAGTATTTGTAGCGAGACTTTGACCACAACCTTTATTTCTGGAGCTACGTTCCAAAACTTTCTCTCTGAGGAAAATTTTACTCGAAATATATAGTACACGTATACTATAGCATATAAAGTAAAATCTTCCTCGGAAGTTTTGGAATGTAGTCTGAAATTCTATAGTATGCGTAACATAAATTATAGCATGTTAGCGTCGTTGTAAGGCCGGAATCAGATTATGCATTGAAGATTGAGATTAAAGATTGAGATTAAAGCTTAAAGATTGAAATTTCATCAATAAGAACAAAGAAATTTTGGCCTGATATTCCTCCTTTTGTTCTGATTAGTTAAACTTTAATCTTCAATCTCATTCTTCAATGGGTAGTCTGATTCCAGCCTAATAGATCTGTTCGCATTGCTTGAAATCTCCAAAACTTAAAAGGAAATAAAAGGCCTGTTTTTTTTGGTTTTTGCATCAGTTTATCCTTCTTCTTTTCCTCTTTTTCTTCTTCCTTCCTGATTTCTGATAGATTAAAATTCTTATTCTTTTCTCTGTTCCCTGTTCCTTTTATTGTGCGGAGCCCTTAAAGTGAATCACATCCACTGAGTGCAAAAGTACGAGAAACGCGAACAGACCTATGTGTCCTCGCGGAACGTGGACTGGACAGCTGATTTCGAATTTGCGCGACGGAATGCAGGACGCAGAAACGTCGTGAATTTAGGAAACCTGGGAAAACCATGAGAAACGTTCGTAATGGCGGAAAGGGTAGAAATTGTTAAAGTATGTATCGAAACAAGTTGTCCCTCATCGCCGTGAGTGGAGATAACGAGTAAAACAACGTTCAAATTACGCTGTACGGAGAGTTCTCTTCGGAGACATCAATCGTTTTGTGAAATTCGTCGTATACTCGCCGCCACACAATGATGAATCATCGCAGACGTAGCAACAATTTCACGTATGTCAGTTCGTGCGTGAAGTACATGATCTTCATGCTGAATTTCGTCTTTTGGGTGAGCGATTCGTTCTTCTGCTTTTCTTTCTATGCTGTATACAAGCAAATGAAATTTGCGATTTATTCTAAGACAAAATAAAGGCTACTTTCCTTTTAAGAGATAAAGTTGACATAAGTTCTGTCTTTCTTGAGCCTAATTTACAATGTATTTTTACTTTCTATTTCTTTTTTCCTCTTTGCGATCGTTTTATCGATAATCACGTTTCTTGCAATGTGTATTCTGTGTATTTAGTCTCTTCCCAAGCTCGTCAACTTTTAAGTTTATTACAATATTTTCTTTGCTTCCTTTTTTTATTACTTTTTATTACTTTTGCCTTTTATTTTATTTCTTCGTCTTTTCTCGTGATAAAATGACAAACTTCAAAGGAGATAAGAAACACATGACAAAAAGTACATTTGTCAATGAAACAGTCATAAAAGAGAAAAAAATGCAACAAATAAAAGAGGAAATAAAGTGTACATTAGATTAGAGTTTGTCTTGAGTGACAGAAAACGAAGAAACAGAATATGAGGCAAGAAAGCAAGAGATCAAATGTAATAAAAAGCAAAGAACAGAAAGCACAAAAAGCAAACTATAGATTAGGCTTTATTTATGTCAAGAATGATAGAATGACATTTTGTGTCAACTGTGTCCTGAAAGGAAAGCTTGTTGGGAAAGATATGATTGTGTTGATTTCGAATCTACTGACATCAGTAATTCAACTAAATTTAGATATCAGACTATCAACATCATGTCTAGACATTAGAAGAAGTAGAACAAAAGTTAAAGATAATATAGAAATGATATGGTCATATATTATGATGGGAGACAAAAATAATTTTTTTTATGTTTAGCTGTTTGGTGGACTGCTAATCGGCGTAGGTCTCTATGCATTTGTGGATAAATGGCAGGCAACTGGCTCTGTCAGGGTGGAAAATGTCTACGATGTAGTCTTGAACATTTCTCTTGTGATGCTGATAGCTGGTGGAGTAGTCTTTGTTGTTAGTTTTGCAGGATGCGTAGGAGCTCTTCGTGAAAATACATGCCTTCTTAAATTTGTTAGTTTTTTTGTGTCCAGAATATTTTCTATAAGCAACGCAAAAACAAATGATTGACTGATCAAACGATTTTTTTAGTATTCGCTATGTCTTTTGGTGTTCTTCCTCTTGGAGATGGGTGTGGCGATCGTTGGTTTTGTATTCCCGCACACATTGCAATCTCTTTTGGAAGAGTCATTCACGGACAAAATAATTCAGACGTATAGAGAAGATCCAGATCTGCAAAATTTCATCGATTTTGGCCAACAAGAAGTAAAGATCACGAATAAAATAATTAATAATAATAAAAACACATGTCTTACATTTGTACAAGTTATTCAATTTCGTACATGCAGTGAAATATTCATAAAATTTTATATTGTAGTTCAAGTGTTGTGGTTTGAGTCAAGAAGGATACTTAGATTGGGGGAAGAATGAATATTTTAATTGCACCAGCCCTAGCGTAGAACGTTGCGGTGTACCGTTCTCTTGTTGCATAAATGCCACTGATATATCCGTACGTATATTATTTGTTGCACTTGTACAGAAAGTCAAAGATAATTGAAAGATATTTTATCTTGAAAAGACATTTTCATTTTTATTACTGAAATAAATCAAGAGAAGAATCAAGGCTAAAGGCTTGATGCCTAATATTTATATCTAAGTTTTAAATACATCTTCCCGCATTATTTAAATTGTGCGCTGATTATTATCGTTGATTATTCAAAACGCGAAATCATAAACTGAAGTTGAAATAATATTACAAAAAAGAAATTGAGCGTCAATTAATAATAATACTAATGATCATCTTAAAACATTGTAAAGAATTTTACAAATGAGATAATTTCAATTTTCAGAGCGGACTTGTAAATATAATGTGTGGCTACAAGGTCCAGATGTTACCAGTGTCTGAAGCGAGTAAAAAGGTTTGGACCAGTGGATGTATCGAAATTGTACGTAGCTGGGCGGAACGTAATCTCTACACTATAGCTGGCATTGCTCTAGGCATTGCGCTCAGCCAGCTCTTTGTGATCTACCTTGCAAAAACGCTGGAGGGTCAGATCGAGCTGCAGAAGTCCCGCTGGCATTCCTGAGCTTGACTTCAGGCCACCTACCGTTACCAGATACATTCTGCAGCCAACAGGCAGGTGGCCAGTGGCGGACGATCGCGCGGTTCGCAGGAGACAGAGACAAATATAAATGCGCGAATGGCATTGCTCGTCCTTTTCGCGATCTCTTTATACATACTGTGCATTTTGTCCCTCATCAAACTCGTCCTTTATTTCAAGAATTTCTTTCACATGTACGTGAGTAAAGGATAATACATCATCGGCGGTCAATAAGCCTTCTTCGTAAGCTAGAGGATATATTCGTGATAAAAGGTATCGATAAAAATCTTGCATAAAGATTATATACACACGCGAGTGCAGAATGGTGTCCTGTGCGTTTACAATAGTAAAAGCTCTTTTTTTTTTATACTCAGGAAAATATACCTTTTCGCTATCTTAATTAATTGCATGATTCAAATACTTTGCGCTTACATCGATGAGTTACGTGTCGTGCGATCATGTTCTTGTGAATGTTGCACGGGACACGATTAGTGCACTCGTCTGGTAACATGCGACTGGTAATTCGAATTAAAGACAAAAGTGAGAGAGATATTTAATTCCATGATAAATTTTGTAATATGTATTTCATGAACATGTTACGATATATTACATTACATTGCATTAGTTACATAATAATGTTATAGCAAAATCGCTATATTTCATGATAATATTCGTTTCTCGAATGTTATTTCTTCCATGAGCCAATTTTTAAATTTGCATTTTTTTTTCTTTTTACCACAATTTCAATGTATTTTGTGCAATATATAGAGACAATTTGCTTAAATTAAGATATTCAGATCTGATATCATCTTGTTTTTCTAGCGTGAGATAGTTTGTTACAGTGTATAATTCCATCATTTTCAGCACATTGACATAAAGTTGTTTTAATGATAATATTGATGTACTACTAGGCCCAATTTTTCATTATTTGGTATGATTAAGCTTAATTTTATGTTTCACCCAATGGGCCTTATCTAATGATGATGTTATGATACTTCATCATTGTAGATAAGGCCCAATGAATATAAAGTCTAATGATGATATAAAGTCATAAGTTAACCAGAAAATGAAAATCCGGGCCTAACAAGTGACATAGGAGCTTATTTCATAAATCCCGAAGAATAGATGTAGTAAACTTTAAATCATGCGATCAATCATAGTCGAGTATGAAGAAAATCGATTATGATTTGTTTTTTTTCGGTTTAAAGTTTGCTACATCTATTGTATTTCGGAACTGATCATTTCTATTAATGTAGATTAACTTTAATCTTGATTTAATTTACTTTGATCTTTTTTTAATTCTTAAAAATAAAAAAAGATGAAGAGTTAGTTAAACTGAGATCAAACTACATTGGTAGAATCATGTGAGAGATAACATCGATAGTTGTATACACATTTTCACGCATACGTTCCATTAAAATATGTAAGTTAGAACATAATGAATTTGAGATTAGATATGAATATCATCTTGTAAATTAATCTTGAGAAATTAATTTGCTCTACTAGCTAGGTATAAATTAAATTGTCGAATTGTATTTCTTTTTCTATATTATTAAACATTAAATGCATTTAATTATTAAGATAATACATATATAAGCAATTTTTACTTCTTTTTTTTTTGTAATTAATATTTACAAACATATTGTTATCCTATAAATAAGTGGATGTACGTGCACTGTTGAACTTACGATACTGATAATTATTAATGGTAATTCTCATTCACTTGTAGTGTATGCGATGCCATATTTGTATTATGAAACTATGAATGAGCGCACAATTATTTGAATATATAACTAATTTATACTTCTCTGTTGCTGCATTAGTGTAACTTATATGTGTGAGACAAACGTCCAGTGCCAAAGTCAGAATATTGTTACTCTTTTATTTTAAACAAATCTGACAATAATCTGGTATAAATGATTTATTTAACGCATTTAAGTGTCTCTTTGTCAAGAATAAATGTAAAACTGATATAAAACCTTCTAGTTTGTAATAAACAAGTATTATTCTAAGAGCTGTATTTTTTAGCCATTATGGATAAATCAAATTATACAATTAAATCATATATAAAATTCTATATATCATAAATAGCATAAAATACATTGTTTTTGATATTTGTGCAGTTAGTGGATTATTATCTGTTATTTTCAAATTGAATTTCAAATTTCATTACAACAAAAATTTTATTTATATATATATATATAAA